CCTTTTGGGCGGCGGCAGGGGCGGCTTCCTTTTGGGCGGCGGCAGGGGCGGCGCCGCCGCAGCCGCGCGCCCGCACCTTGCTGGTGGCGCAGCAGTAGCCCGCGCGCGCCAGGTCTGCGCCCTCGTCCATCTCCGTGCTGCAGCGCCCGCTGAACTCGGCGGCGGGCTGCCGCGTTTGGTTTGGCGGCAAAAAGGGGAGAGAGAGGGGCGTGCGGGACCGTCGGCGGCAGCCCCACAGGAATGGCGCGCGCGTGCTGCCCCAGCCGCCGCCGCCGTTTCGCCCGCGCCGGCGGCGCTGACCGAGGCAGGCGGTGGCGGCAGTCGGCGCAGCGGCGGCCGCGCGGCGGGCAGCTGCCCACCTGGTCCGGCGCCAGCGCCCACGACGCCTCGGACCTCCCGCCAAAGTAGGCGTCCGTGAACGCGTGCCACTTGTCCACTTCGCGCTCCCGGTCAAACTTGAACAGCACCATCGGCTGCGGGTTCATGGGCACTGCAATGGCGCGGCGGGGGGCGGCGGGGGGGCCTCGGGGCCGGTGGCGCGGCGGGCGGCGCGCGCCGCGCGCGTCGTGCTGCGCCGCGCTTCTGCTGCCGCTGCCCCACCTTCGCCCGCCAGCGCGCGCCCCACACGCTGCAGGGAGCGCGCGAAAGAGCGCAGCATCGTGAGCGCGGGGCGACAGACCGCGCGCTGCGAGCGCTGCCAGCGGGTTTTCAACAGATCACTCGCTCGTTTTTGCTGTCGAAGAGTTTGAGTACGAGTGGATTCGCAGTAGCATTGGGCACGGTTTCTGAGATGCGTGGGGCACCTCTAGCGGCAGCATTCGCGGGCGGCGGCGGCAGCTGCCTGCGGCGAAACCGCCGCTCTCACCGTCGGCCGTCGCGCTCAGCTGCGGCCTCGTCGCCCAAGCCCGAGACCCCTGCGTTTGCCCGGGCCTCCACGGTGAGTTTGGCCGCGATTGCCTCGCGGCGGCGGGTACAGGAAGGGTGAGCCAGAGATGCAACTGAATGGCCAACACCGTTGGTTTTTAATCCGCGGGGAGCGCCCTCATTTGCGGTCCTCCCCGCCGTTTCCCGTTCTTGCCCGTTTGACGGCGTGGTGCGTACGTGCAGGACACCCACATCGGTCGGAGCAGCTCACCACCAGTCTCTTGTGGGCGCACAAGGTCGGCTGCGCCCCAACCCCTGGGCTATCTAGCAACCGACCAACTGCAGCGCGCAGTTTATGTATGTGCCCCCCACCCAGCAGGCGCCTGGTTGTCGCTCTTCTCGGAAATAACCTAAACTGCAACGAGCATATGCCGTTGCTGCCAACTTTACCTGCCACCGGCGCCGCAGCGGCGGCACAAAGGCCGCATCACAACGAGGGGCGCAGCGTGACACCACCACCAGCAGACTTTGTCTCCGTTTTAGGCCGCACGCTTATTGGATGGAATCGTGAGCCTGGTGACGGTGGTGCCCACGCTGATCCCCTTGCTTGCCCACGCTGACGCGCAGGCGTGCAGGCGTGCAGGCGTGCAGGCGTGCAGGCGTACCGTGCACCCGCAGCTAGCCGGCTGTTTGGGGCCGGCGGGCGTAGGTTTGCCAGGGAGCAGCCCCTGTCCCGGGTCCGGTGCAGGCAGTAACTTCATGCCTCAAGAACTGATAAAACATCCAAATGGGGCCAGAAAAACGACCTAAGAAAAAAACGGCCCGGATGATGATTTGTTACTCCGCCTGCGGCATCGCAGGATCCTGTAGCCACCGTGTTCCAACCAGGGTCAAGGAAAACGAGCCGTCAACCGCCGCATGGCAGGCGGTCAACGCCACCGGCGCCTGCGAGGCGCGGATGGCAACACCACAACAAAACCCACGCGCAATGAAAGCGCACTAATCCCCGCGTCGCACGGCCCCTGCAAGGGGCCGGTGCGGACGGCGGGCGCCGAGTTTGGCCGCTCGGCAGCGGGCGCGCGCCATGCGGGGCGCGCGCCACGCCCCCCGGCCGGCATGTGCTTGCCGGGGCTGTAGGCGGCTCGCGAAAAAACCTCCAGAAAAAATATGCGATAGCACCCACCGCGGGCCGACGTGACCGGCGGGGGTGCGAGCCGCTGGGCAGTGCAAGCGAGGCACTAGTGACACCGGGGGCACCTGGCGCGCGGCCGCAAAGGCGGCGGCCGCAAACACGCCCGGAGGGGGGGCCCATTTTCGACCGGTGCGGTGGTGCATGTGGCATACAAGGCAGGAGAGAAGGGGGGGAGAGAGAGCGCAGGCAAGCAAGCAGCAGTACAAACGCGCGCACGCACAATGCAGGTTTACACAAGCGCGCAGTCCCACAGCCGACGCATGGCTGCGCCGCGGGGCTTGGGCGGTGGCAACGCTGAGGCAGCGCGCGGCGCGGCTGCGGGGGGCCCATTAGCGCGGGTTTTTGGCGCGCCCCTTATCCGCAGCGGCGCCGCGCGCCGCGCACAAACCGAAAACGCGCCGCTCCAAATCGCGCCCCAGCGGCAGCTGCCCCGGGGCCGCGGTGCTGCCGCCAATCAAAAGCAGCGCCGGCGCGTCTGCGCGCGCGCGCGCAGCCGAGGCGCGCGCGCGCGCGCAGTGCCTTGCGCCGCCAGCAGTTCGCACATCTAAACACCGCCGCCGCCGCCGTCTCAGAGAAGAAACGTCGCCTCCAGCCGCTCCTCCGCCGCGCTCCAGCGTAGAAAGGGGTGGTCCTCGGGGACCTGGGCAGCCCACGCGGTGCCGAGGCCCAGCGCACAGTACTCGCGCAGCCTGGACTCAAAGAGCGACTGCGCGCGCACGCACGCGCTGACCATAGCCCGGTCGTGTGGCCCCTCGGCGTGCTCCGCC